ACAGTGAAGCTAATCCTGCAGTACCTTCTCTGGTCAGTGTAAGCACTAGTTTAGACATCATGCAAAATACAGACCAAAGTCAAAATACGCCGAATATTTCACCAGCAAAAATGAAGATACACTCTAAAATGGTCTCAACAACAGTACTTCGCCGATATCGGCCGCTCGTCTACGTCGCTATCTGCGGATCCTTCCTCAAAAAAATCGCTAAAAAGACAAACTAAGGCGGTTTAAGGCATGATAGGGTTGATTTGCTATCGAACTGAATCAACAAATCTCGGGAGAAATGATCTTTCCAGTGGCTGAATGCACAACCACAGCTCGGAGAAATCAATGCCGACGTATTTTCTTCGTTTTCGCCCTATTCTTCATCGACAGTTTTTTCATGGCTTTCAAAGCAGAAAGCTTATCAAATTCAGGCTGCGCTAATTTCCTCGTACTCAACTCCTCCTTCAACTGCTTGTAATTGACAAAACGACTTTTCGGCGGCTGTGCGCCAAGTTTTATTGCCAGTCGAGCCCGTGCCTCGTCGCGTTCTTCAATATCATCACACTCGTCGGCAGCGAACTTTTCAACCTGAAACATAAAATCTCTTTAACAAACAAAATAAAAGAAGTTGACTGCTAATCCCTGCAACAATCTTCGTTTTTTCCAAAAGCGGTCTGGTTGGAATTTATGGTCAGCCTTTGCTGTCTCTTGTCCTTTCGTGATATTCTATTTAAATAACATTCTGGACGGCCACCGTCTATCCCCGACTTATTCCTATTAGATTTAGGGTTGGTGCGACCCCTGGGGTCGATACCCTTTGCAGAATAGGTTGCTGTCCCTGGCCCTGGTAACAACTTCCTCTCATTCTCTTAGCGAGCTTTAGAGGCCCGTACTGCCCTTTACTTAAATTACAGTTAAACCGAACAATCAAAGATGTAGCAGGGATACGTTCCTGTAAATAAGAGAAACACATTTTTTCCAAGCTCTTTCAAAATACTTACTCTGTGCAAGGTTCAAAGACTTACATCAAAAGTAACTTTCTTCAGTGAAATAACTTTCTCGTCCGAATTCTTTAGCGCCGATTTCAAGATCTTTTTCGGTGCCTTTTTAGCCGGCCGTTGCTCGGCTGCAGATGATGACGGAGCAGCAAACGTAACAATCTAAATACTGAAATAAAAAACTAGGGATGTATGGGGCTACCATTAATTCCTCATACATTATGTATCAAATGTGAACACCACGGGTGTTCTGCTTTTCTCCCTTCCCATCTCTTCTTCCTGCTCTGACAGGGAAGCCAAAAATTTACAGATGAAAGGAAAAATGCAAATAACTGAGCCGACTAGCAGCTAAAATAATATAAGTCGCTAAATTTAATTCTTCCTTAGCTGCCATAGATGGTTGCCTCATTTAATCAAAAAGAATAAAGTTTAGTGGAAAAGAACGAAAGTGATAAAATAATAATACAAATGAAAGTCCTGTGTCCCCTCATATCTGCGCCCTCTCAACTATGTCCCTCTTCGCGACCTTCCACACCTCCGCCCTGCCTCATCCACATCGCCTTCACGATAT